TTGCCCGTATGTCTGTATATCATGAGCTTTGCAAAGTTCTCAGGCCTTCTGTGGAGATGCAAATTCTTTTTTTTAAATTTTTCTTTTTTTTTTTTTTGAGAGATCTTTGCTATAGGGCGTGTGCACTTGCCAGACAGAGAGAGACAGAGAGACAGGAAGCAAGAAATCACCCCCCAGGGGGGTGGTCACGCTGCAATCCCTTCTTCTCCATTCTCCTCTCGGGATCTTGGGCACGCACACACACGCGCCCGGCGTGAGTTTTAAGCCACTGGGTCCGGGACACGAACCGTGGTCGACTACATGGGAGTTTAGTGACATAGCCATTACGCTAACTGCTGGTTCCCGAGATGCAAATTCTTAATAGAACACTCATTCACAGTCTTCAAAAAAACAACTAGTTAATTTTAGTCTCTGGATAGACAACTTTAGTAAACCTTAAAAGAGTTGTAGAACATTAGTAAGCTGCCCTTAGCCTCATAATTAAAATAAAAATTTTGGGGGCTGGCAGGTGGCGTAGTGGTTATGGTGGTGGACTCCCACATGGTCGACTGTGGTTTGAGTCCCAGACCCAGTGTCATGAAACTCATGCAGGTTGTATGTGCATGCTTGCCCAGATCCTGAGAGGAGAATGGTGAAGGCACTAGCCATAGCATAGCCATCCCCCTGGGGGGTGATTTCTCACTTTCTCTCTCTCTGTCTCTCTCTGCATCTCTGGCAGGTGCACATACTCTATAACAAAAAATCTCTCTTAAAAAAATTCAAAATTCTGTGTAACTACCTGACATTTGCCTGGCAGGATAAAATGAAGATACATAGTCTACTTATCAAAGTCAGTTAGTGGCCACCACGGGACAAGGACTCTTCAGAGAACTGCTGAGACAATCAGCGCCAAGTTTGCAGGCAGTGCCCGGTCCACAACGGGGCTGAGTTCTCAGCTGGCTCAGAGCTGAGCCAGGGCTCAGCCAGTTCCCAGCATCCAGGGCTGAGCTCATACCAAGGCCTTTGCGTGGGGACGATGGCTCCTGCTGCTGCGGACTTTCCTGCACCGTGCACGCCTTCGGTCAAGGGAGGAGGGGCTCACCCGTGTCCTCCCTCCGCTCCCCCTCAGTCCCCAGTGTCCTGCAACGTCCAGTGTGTCTAAGACCCCTTCCGGGAGATGAGGCTGGCCGGCATTTGCTGCCCACTGGCCGTGACTGCAGTGGCTGTCTCCCATGCATTTCGCCTAGTTTCTCCTCAGGACGGTGTCCCCCAGCAAGTGCCGCAAACTCCTTCAGGTACTTCTTCCCCCAATCTAGGCTCCCCTTTAAAAAGTTTTTTTTTTTAATTTAATTTAAATAGTTTTATTTCCACCATCAGTGAGAGGGACAGGAGGAGAAAGAGAGAGAGGAGAGAGGGAGCGACAGAGAGACAGCACCCCCACAGGGCCTTGCGGCCACAACTGAGCCCCAGCTTCAGTCAGCCTGGATGGTGGGCACGCATGTGCCTGACTTGAGCTGGACCTTCGCACAAGGGGTGGCTATGCCACCAATCCCCCAACTCCGCTTCCTGTGCTTTTGAAAGAAGAGTCCAGAAGTGAAACAGTTAAGGCACAGATTACGACAAAGAATCTTCGAGTTTACTTTCCCAGTATTACAAAAGGAAGCAAGATCCCCAGGGCTCCCGGCTCCCGGTCCACGGGGCGCTAAGTAGATTAAGCTGCCACATCAGCTGTGATTGATTTAAATATCTGGGGCTCTGTTATCACCTCCACACAATTTTGTATAAATGCCTTGAAGAAAAAACTCCTTTCAATGGATTTGCTAAAGCAAAGCTTACCTTGAATGGCAAAGCAATGAACTTCTCATTTTACTAAGAAGATACTAAAAAAGATATTTTAACTCTCCTGGTTATGGATTTTCAGGAGCTTAGTGCTGAAGCACACCTGCCTACCAGCAGCCTGGGTCCCAAGGCCCTTGTCCCAGGGCATGGGTCCTTAGGGGTCACTCTCTCCTTGACCGTCCAGATCAGACAGGAGGGCCACCAGGGGAGCGCTGCCTATCTATGCCTTTAAACAATTTCTCCCTTTACGACAGCTGCAGTAATAGTAGTAACAGTACTCGTTATTACTATGTGCTATTCTTTTTTTTCGAGAGATTTTTGCCATAGGGTGTGTGTGCTCACCAGAGAGTCAGAGACAGAGAGACAGAAAGCAAGAAATCACCCCTCCCCAGGCCATGCTGCAATCTCTTCTCCTTCACTTTCATCTCAGGAGTCTGGGCATGTACACATGCATGCCCAGCATGAGTTTCAAGCCATTGGGTCTGGAACTCGAACCACAGTTGGCCATGCGGGAGTTCAGTGATGTAACCATTGCGCCATCTGCTGGTCTCACTATCAGCTGTTCTTTATTATTACAGCAACACCAGCCATGACGCCACGACCATTTGCTGTTCAGCATCACGTGTAAACAGAAGTGCACTGTTCACGGCTCATACCATCCTCGGAAAGCCTGGTGTCTTCGACGTGTTATTCCCATTCATGGATGAGCAGTTGAGGTTCTGGGTGGGAGGGCACTGTCGAGGGC